AACAAGATTAGAACTCAAGTTCAGAACATAACACAGCCAACATGGTTTCATTCTGTATGTTTTCAAAATAAAATAATGAAATACATATAAGTAACTTGATATGTGAGATGAGGATATAAAGGGTGCATTAAAGACAGCAGACATTACAGAAGGGATTTATATGAATTCAGCAACAGAAGCTGCCCAAAAGAAAGCACTGAAGAGAAAGGATTCAGAATTCAGAAATGCTAGAGTTTCAAGTGGCTAATATTCAGCCAATGAAAGCATATATGTGCAGTTTATCTTAATTGTCAAGTTGACTGGTTTTGAGTTACCATGGAAATACACCTCTGAGTGGGTCTACAACAATGTTTCCAGAAGGATTTCTCTGAAGAAAGAACACCCACCTTGAATGTGGGCAGCACCATTTCATGGGATGGAATCCCATACTGAATAAAAAGGAGAAAGTTGGGGCTGGAGAGATGGCTCGGCAGTTAAGAGCACTGGCTGCTCTTGTAGAGGACCCAGGTTTGATTCCCAGTACCCACATAGCAGCTAACAACTGTCCATAACTCCAGTTCCAGGTGAACCTGACGCTCTCTTCTGATCTCAGTGGGCATTGTAGGACATGAGTACACTAACATACATGTAGGCAATACACTCAGAAACATAAAAACATTATAAATAATTTATTTATTTTTTTAAAAAAGGAGAAAGTTGAGCTGAGCATAGCCATTAATTTATTTGTGCTTCCTGTCTGTGGCTGCAGTGTGACCAGCAGTCTCATGTCCCTGACATCGTAGTTTTTTTTTTTTTTTTTTTTTTTTTTTTTTTTTTTTTTTTCAAAAAAAAAAAAAAAGAGGCTGTCCTAGAACCCATTATGTAGACCAGGCTGGCCTTGAACTCTCAGAGGTCTGCCTGCCTCTGCCTCCCGAGTGCTGGGATTAAAGGCATGTGCCACCACACCCAGCTGATATTGTGTTTTTACATCAAACTGTAAGGCCCAATAAACCCTTCCTTCTCTTAGGCTACTTCTTGTCAGATATTTTTGTCACAGGAGAAAGGCAAGTAATATAGAAGAAATGTTTGACAATTGCTACCTAAACATTCCACAGATGCTGAAAATAATAAACTTACAGATACAGAATTCACAGCAAACAAGGAAATTGTCACCAAGGCATACAGGCATCAAATTTCTCAAAAGTACGTATAAAGACAAAAATTTTAAATTGCTGTTGTCAAGTGTTGTGTGACATAGATAAAATCAAAGCTAACCACAATATGGCAGAGTTCTTGTAGGAACGATGTAGAAATGATAGCAGAACAGACATTGAAGTTATAAAAGGAAGAGATGGATGAAGAAGTCTGTCCTCAATTATTAGTAACCAACAAATTTACCCAAAGAAATTCTTTCAAACAGAAATGTGAAAGATATTTTCAGACTTATAAAAGCTAATTGCATTACAAGCAATATTAAAGGGAGTCCCTCAGAAAGATGAAACAATAAACACCACATGACAATATACAAAAAAGAATAATACAGAGTATCAAAAATCATAAGCACATGGTCAAATACATAATATCAATTATTTAAATCATAACATAAATGACCATTTTTTAAAAAGTCAATATATTATGGAATTTCTAACATGAGTATGAGTAATATGCATGAGAATATCAAAATGAAGAATAGAATATAGAAAAGGAAGTACAATATTAAAATACTCTTATAGTACATATAGAACAGTATAATAAACTGCACTTTACTATATAGTCTAATAAAGCAAAAAAAATTTTTTTGGTCTTTTTGAGGCAGGGTCTCCCTGTAGCCCCAGCTGTCCCGGAACTCACTAGGTAGACCAGGCTGGCCTTGAACTCACAGAGATCTGCCTGCTTCTGCCTCCTGAGTACTGTCTTTGTTGTCTAATTTAGTGGCAACATTATTATAGTAGTTGTGTGTGTGTGTGTATATATATATACATATATTAAAATTTATATATATGTATACACAACCACTATAATAATGTAGCCACTAAATTAGTTGTGTATATATATATTTATAAATT